CTGTTTCTGGTGAATCCTCTCACTGCCCCTGCACCTCTGGCTTGTACCCCACTTCCGTATGCATAAGTAAATAAAGTCTTTTAAAAAAAAGAAGGGCACCAGATTATCAGGGTTTGGGGGTAGATGGTAAGGGCGAAGAGAGCCATATTAATGACAGCAAGGCAGGTCCCTGTTACAGTGTTTGAAACCTAATTTAGTCTCAACATGGTATAGATCTTTCTTAAAAATTTAATGGATTTTATGTTTTAGAGCACATTTAGGTTTCCAGGAAAATTATGTAGACACCCTCCGCATACTTTAACCCCTTCTCCCAGAGTTATCTCTTCTATTGGCATCTTTTGTTAATAGTGTGGTCTCTTTATTGTAATTATGACTGAATATTGATAAGGGACGCTCGCTGACCCTACCGCCTGCTAAAGATCTGGGCTGCATCTCTAATCTAGACCAGGGCTTTGTAACATGCTGGATGGTGCTTAGAAGAGTAAGCAAAGCCCCTCAGAGAGAGATACCCCCGATCCCCTGGACTCAACCTCTTCTCCAGGACAGGTCCTACCAAACTTCAGAAGCCCCCAGAACAAGGGAAGACATGGTTGGGGAAGACCACCAACACTGCAGCTAGGTGGAGTCTATATGTTGGCGCCTGGCCAATCACAGGATGATCCCCACGAAAGAGCTGGCTATAGCCATGACAACTGGGGTGGTTCCCATACTCCTCCACGTGGGTGTGGCCCATCAGTGAGACTGGGGCCAGAAAGGTGTATTATAACCAGTCTGATCAGGGGTGAGGCAACTCAGTAACTATAGAGTAGGAGGGCAAACTTCTAGAGCACAGGCACAGGACATGAATGAAAAGACACTTCTTCTCTTAACGCTTCCACAGTCACAGACTATAAGGAAATCACAGCAGCAAAGAAGCTACTCCTGTCATCAAAAGAAAAGTCTTTATCTGGGACTAGTGGAGGCAACCAGAAAGGGAGACTCGATGGTCAAGAACCATAGCTCTGGATTCTGAAAGAGTTGGGTTCAATGCCTGACTTCCTGGTCAAGCAAGCTGTGTGACCTTGGGAAAGCTACTTGACTTCTCTGAGCCTCAGGTTTTTCTCTACTAAGATGAGGATAATCATCATCATTGCATCAACAAGTAAGGGTGTTGTAAGGATGGAAAAGGGTGCTACATGTGTTAGTGGGCAGACTGAGGGGTACCCAGGGATCCCCCAAACCTACACACTCTCAACAGGTTCTGCTGAATAAAGATAAAGCATTCTCTAAGTGTGAAAGAACTTTAATAGGATGTGTGTGCATAGAGAGAAAAAAAAAAAAGAAAGGATAATAGTTTCCCAATGAAACACCCAAAGTTACCCATCCCCTTGGGTGTAAATACCCTGGCTCACAGACATTAAGGTGTTTAGGGGGGGCAGCCCCTGGCCAGGCCAACTGCTCAACCCCTGGACTACACCTCCAGCTCTGAGCTGTGCTGCTCATGGCCCTTGGACACCCAAACATGGGAAATCCCAGTCGAGATGTGTCAGTATAAGACACTGGATTTCCAAGACTTCACATACCCAAAAAGAATTAAGTCATCCTGTGATAATTTTTACATTGATTACATATCAAAATATTATGTTGGATATAATGGGTTAAGTAAAATGTGTCATTAAACTTAATTTGAACGTATTTAAAATCTTTTAAATGTAATTATTCATGGCCAGGTGAGGGCCTCTTCTGGGTCTTAGATCCTCATATAAGGAAAGGGTGAGTCATTTTTTAATATGTGTCCCATGTTGTATGGGATATACTTATACTAAAAACAGTATTCACTGTTTATCTGAAATCAAAGTGAATTTGTTTTTATTTCTTTATACATACAAGAACTGGGGTGTAAGTCAGAGGTGCGGGGTGGGGAGTATATGAGAGGATTCCCCAGAGACAGAGTTGACTGACGAAGTACACTCCTGAGGGGAGCAGCGGGCAAGACAGGAGAGATCTGCTGTGCCATGTGAGTCACTTCCAGGGCGGGGATCGAACTCACATCACAGTGGTTATAGCATGATAGCATTGAGACTTAACCCCTATTCTACCAGGGAGACCCCTGAAATCAAAATGTAATTGAGAGTTTTGCATTTTATCTGACGACCACCTAACCAGAAAAGAAGTAAAAGGGGAAAATGAAGATATCACCAAGTGTGCTCAGGAACAAAGGGACACTTTGAGTCTGTGGGCCCAGCAGGAGGCAGGGGGACAGCCATCCTTGACCAAGGAGCCACACCGAACCTCACATCCGCAGCAACAGACCCTGAGCCCAGACACCCAGACCTCGGCAGGCCTTCAGCAGGAGAATATACCAGCGCTGACTCAAATTAGTGGTCATTATTAACAGAGACCAGGATGAAATGATAAAAGGTAAGACTTTAAAAAACCCTGTTCATTAATTTTATGCGCATCTATTATTGAAAGGAAAGAGTAACTCATTCACATTGCAGCATCAATAAAGAACATTTTCAAGGGAATAACACACGCTGGCTTTAATCCCACTCTGCCGCATGGAAGGCGTTCGGAGTCCTCGCTGAAAGCAGCCCCAGAGGCAACGGCATGAATTCAAGTCTTGGTTCTTCACTAGCTGTGTGGCCTTAGCAGTCACTTCCTTTCTCTGTGCCTCGGTTTCCTCAGCTGTAAAGTGAGATAACAGCCTCAACCTTTCCAGGTCATGGAGAGGACTACTGAGCTAAGTTGACGCAACAGAACAAGCTCCGAGCATTCGTCTAACTCAGCAAGTGGGTCCTTTAGAAGGCGGCTTGTCTGGAGCACATGGGTCGATGACCTCACAGCTATTTGAGCAGCAGATGGGAAGAGACTGAAGGAGAAAGAGGAGAGGGTCTTCTCTCCTTATTTTTGCTCTGGTCATCCCACCCATTTCACAAGCAAGCAGGAGGTGACCGCTCTCACTTGGTAAAGCAGTGACGCCCCAACTCATTGCTCACTCTCACCAACCTTGTCACGAATCATTACCCACAACAGCCAAAGAGATTCTCAAAAAACATCAGTTGGGCCCAATCACTTCCGTGCTCAAAACTGCACGAATGGCTGCTCATCACAGTAGGAATTAAATTTGAAATTCTTACCAGGCCTTACAAGGTCCTGTGTGACCTGACCTTTCCCTGCCTCTACTGTCTTATCCTTTGAAAAGGCTTCCTGGAATCAACTGCAATGTGGGTGGGTGTGGAGATTCCCACACCAAGCAATTCTTTGAAACCAATCCAAGAATTAGTCAGTTTGGCTCACATTAAGCTGCAGAGAGCATCGGATCCTAGGAAAAGTATATTTCCAGTTAATATCCTCTTCTTTGGGATTTATAACCTGCCTGCTTGCTTTCAGAGTCAGTCAGCGTGGCCAGTAGGAACCAGTAGGGGCAGATTTAGACTGACCATCCATAGAACCAGGCCCAAAGTGCTTGCATGACTACCTAGAGAGCTGGCTGAGAATAACCTTGTGATGTGGAGCCTGACAATACCCCCAACCCTGCAAATATCTGGCCCCCCCACCCCGCTCACAATGGGCATGTGACCTTGATCATGAAGCGGCATGAACAGTAGCAATGCAAAGGAAAACTCCAGATTTCCCCTTTACCTGACCACTCCTGTCCACTCCCTACCTCTCACTTTCCTTTAAAAGATTTGAGGCAGAAGATGGGAGGAGGGCAGAATTCAGCAGGCTCCTGGACACCTCACTGGACTGGTCAGTAATAAGGCCACTTTCCCTGATGCAAAACCTATGTGGCAGATCACTGCCTCCCTGGGCAGAGGCCCAATTTCAGTGCAATAACAAAACTTCTCCTCCAGCAAGCCTGCTCTCACACCCAAGTCACTACAAATGTTTCTTTCCTCTCAATTACAAACTACTACCTCAAATTCTGTTGTTTATTTTTATCTTCTGTCTCATTAACTTGCCCACCCATGAGAGCAGAAACTGGGGCTCCCTTTGACGCAGTGACACCACCCAGTGCAGGCGTTCAATTCACTGTGGTCAGTGAATTGATATGAAAAAGCCACAGAGACAATGCCTTCAGGACAACGCCTCTGGCCTCAATGTCTCTATGTGTAAAGCTGTGGAACTGGATGAGGTATGATTTGAAAACCCTTCCGGCACTGAAATGCTTGGTTCAGGGACCCTCCAAAACAGGCTCTCACTAAGCTACATTTGCTCAGAACACTGTAAACAGGTCAGTGTCCACACAGCAATTCCCCAGGAGCCCAAGGCTGACAACTGCCCAGTTCCTCACTTACCAATGAGAAGCGCTTGCTCTTCTCCCTGGGTGTCAGTCTCCTGCAGATCTCGGAGAAATCTGCTGTTTACCTTGATGACATCATCAATGTTTGAGAACAGGACATCCAGATCTCCCTGTGGCAGCTGGAAGGAACAAAGAAGCCCTGGAGGTCACTGGGAACTTGTCAGAGTGACTATTTGCAGACTTGGGAGAGCAGTCCCAAGCCCTCACACCGTAGGGTCCCTTCCTTCTGGAGAAAACTGTCACTGCGGAATGTTTGCAAGGACTTTGAAAGTTTGTAAATTAAATACTTTAATTACTCAACAAGAAGAACAAGTGGATGGTGCACTCCATACGGAAGAAGAGAAACCCATCACAGGTCTGCTGCCAACTGTGATTTTTCTCCTTTCTGTTCCCATCTGTCATATCAGGTCATATCCAGCTCTGACATACTTGGCACCTACCAACATTACCTTGAGATGTATTATGAGCTCACTTCTTCCCCCCCCCCCCCCAATTAACTGAGCAGCCCTGACTCCCCTGATTACAAGGCTGTAGACACCTAAAGACAAGCGTGGGCGTGCAGAGGTAGTGTGTATGTATCTTTCCTGGGCATACAGTCAAGTGGGGAAGCTAACTATACAAGAGCTAGATAAAGCTCTTATTTTTGTTAGAATAAATAATGATCACTCTTTGGTGAATGTTAACAGAAAAAAAGTTAATCTCTGGAGAGTAAAGTAAGAGAGAACTTTCACTTTGTACATAGTATTTCATTCACTCAAGAAATACTAATTGAAAATCCATCACATTGGAGCTAGAAGGGATCATGCTTAGTGAAATAAGCAAGAAAGAAAAGAAAAATACCAGATGGTTTCACTCATAGCAGAAAAATAAAGGACCAGGGGGGGAAAAATGAACAACTATATACCAGAGACATTTTACAGGGGTGGAGTGGGGCATGGGATCAAAAAAAGGGGCGGGGGGAGGTTTGGTTGCACTGGACTAGTGCACTGGCCTATGGTGATGGCACATGGGTGAACTGGTGATGGGAAGCCCATGGGGATTACAACTGAGATGGGAAAAGGCACAAAATGATGTAAAAATAAGCTATTACATTATTTTAAAAAAAAAGAAAGAAGAAAGTCCATCACTTATATGTCAACAACAGGGATATGTTGACCTAAACAGTTCTTATCCTTAGAGAGTTACATGCTAGGGAACGCCTAAAATTTTATAGAATGTTCCTAATTATTTCCAAAATCAGGGGTGTAAAAAAGATGTTTAAAAAAAAAAAGACCAGCAAAATAGAAATGCATCATGATGATGGTATCTCCATGCTGCCACCGTTCCAATAAGATCACAAAAGGCAGGTCAGTTTAAAAGGCAGGATCTCTGAACTCCAAAAAGGGCTCTTCCCTCGTTTAATGTGATGCTCTTCCCTCTACCCCACCCCTCCATTCAGCAAGTGGACACATTTAAGGCTCCCAGACAATAAACACCTTGCCGAATGCTGCATGGCCAATAAATTGGAAGTACCAGCCAGGGCTTCTACCCCTGTCTGTCAGAGTCACGTTCACCATGCTTTTCCCTGCTGGGGGGCTCACCCCAGGGACAGAGGTGAGTTCTCCTGAGTCAGGACCCATATTTACCGCGGCAACAACACACTGCGTGGCCCTGCGCAGGTACCTTGTGCAGGCGGCTCCTGATGTCTGAGGCACAGAGCTGCAGCATGTGCAAGTAAGACAGCTCAGTGTCCACGAGCTCTCTGATGGCCAGCCTCTGATGGAGCGACCGTCTGTCCTCCTGGCCGTCCCCATCTGAACTCCCTGTCTTGGAGGAAGGCTCCTTGGGCCCGTGATCGGTCATGTCAGCAGATTCTGGAAAAGACAACACATAGTGACTCACTTCCGGGAGTTCTGGGGGGACATGCTGTCTCTAAATCCGACAGACCTATTTATCAAGTGACCTCAAAACATCTTTAGCCACATACAGAGTAGAGATGAACTGTGTATTAGCATTTGCGGGCAGCATGGGAACAACAGAAAAAGGTAGAATACAGCTCAATTACAGTGGACGTTTTCCCTGGATTCAGACACTGTGCTTGCTTAGCATTTCTTCCCCAGTTCTTGACCCAGATTTCTTTTTCAGGTTCTTTATCTGGCTCAGTCTCTCCCCATTTCTTTCACGCCCACACCCCCATCCAGGCCATCCTGCCTCTTACCTGTGCTATTTCCACAGCCTCCCCCGGCAGGTTTCCAAACCCAAATCCTCTTCCTCTGGCTACCATCTGCACTTTTTCATCCTGAACAAACTTCCAGTTTATATTTCCTAGAACAAACCTTGTGATTGTACCATTCCCTCCTGTGGAACTTGACTAGCTCCTGTTCTCTGTGGTCCCCATCTTTTCCCCTTTACAGACACCCGGGTAGCTAAGAGTTCAGTGCTGTCCTGCAGACCTGCATGGTCCTTTCCTTCTTCTGTGCTTTTGTATCTACTGTGCTGTCCCCAAGCTTCTCTCCCGTCTCTCCCCCTAACATCTTTCCTGACTTGTCAGTTGGCTGTTTCTCTTAGGTTCCCACTAGCCCCTTTATCTCTAGATCTTAAAAGTACAGATGCAAAACTGTGGACAAGATGATCTGAAAAATCATTACTCCCAGACACCTAGAAATGCTGGATCAGCTACAACTAGCTTCCTTCTCTCTGCCTGTCAGGGATGGCAACAGGGTGAAGCAAAGGAAATCAGCTGGTCCCCAAGCAGAGGGAGCTGACACCCGGAGTGGGAAAAGGTGAGCTGATGGGGCTGCAGCCAGAAGCAGAGGGAGTACACCAGAACAGGCATTGGCCAGCTTGGTGGGCGGGATCTGGGTCTCAGTGCCAAGCAGGAACAGGAGACAATTTATTTTATAGAAAGGACTCCCAGAGTCTAGTGCAAGGTGGGTCAGAAAACTGTCTCCTCACCCACACAGAAGATGACAAAGTAGCTTCTCTATCTTGGCTTGAGTCCTGCAAGAGGATAAAATGTTTCTTCTGAAAATTTGTAACAACAGACTTGTCTTTATTGGGTCTTAGACTCAAATTTATGTGGTCCAAGTAGCCCCAAACTGAGAAATTAACAAAAAGAGATGCTCTGGACTGCTGCTACTCTGAGTCCCCACAGAACAAACACAATGTCTTCAGGAGACAGATCCTTAACCTAGGCCACATGGTAATCCAACAGATAACCCATCAGGATTTAAAATCCAAAATTACAAGTAGTCCACTCTGAGTGAGCATTAACAGCAAAACACCAGATCAGACCAGATCAAGACATCAGGTAAACTATCCTAAATGATCAAATAAGTAGGGGGGAAAGCAGACATTACCAACAAAAAATAAAGACCTAAACGATTCCTTATAGCAACAAGCAGAATTTGCAGAAATAAAATTACTTTCTTTCAAATTAAAAACTGGATAAGTTAAACAAACACTTAGGAAAAAGAAACAGGGGCAGATGGATATGAAGAAATTACTCAAGCTGTTAAAAAGAAAGAGGAGCATGAAACTATAAAAGAGAATTTAAGAGATCTGAATATTGAAATAAGAAGAGCTATATATCAAATCTGTATTCTAGAAAGCAAGAAAAAAGACAGTGAGTGGAAGCAAAAATTAAAGAGCTATGATTTCAATTATCATAACTTGTTCTGAGTTCTAAATTGTCCAGAATTCTAAAAGATATGAATTCTTAGAAGCAGGATAACAAGCTGGCTATTTTTTTTTTAATCCATGTCTAAATACATGGAGAAGAAATTACAGAACCTTGAAGGTCCAGAGGAGTTACTCTGTATGTTCCCATTCTCAGAAACTATTGTAAAATGTGCTCTATCAAAATAAAGAATTAATAAAAGAGGAATTCAGGGTCTTCCCTGGTAGCACAAGGGTTAAAGTGCAGCACTACAAAGCTGTGAGTTCGATCCCTGGCCAGGGAGGTGACCCACAGGGCATAGCAGACCTCTCCTGTCTCACCTGCTGCTCCCCTCAGCAGTGCACTTCATCTATCTGTCTGTTCAGCTCTCCACTCTGTCTCCAGTGAATCCTCTCACCTTCCCCCACCTCTGGCCTATACCCCAGTTCTTTTATAGACAAATAAATAAATCTTTAAAAAAAAAAAAAAAGGAAACTGGTGAAGTAACATGGGAGAGAGGTAGGGAAATCCCCAGGAAGAATGTTCTAGAATTGACTATTAGCTACGGGTGTGTAGGACAAGCAGTCTGGACCAGAGTACTGCAAAAGGTAATAGAATGTCTTGAATTTACTGGACTAGTAGAGAGCATAGTGTTTATCAATGTATAGTTATACAGATAATACATACACTAAAGAACAAACATTAAAAAAAAAGTACTGTTATAACAATTTTTATAACAAAAAATGTGAAAAGATAAAATTAAATATTACTACCTTGTTCTGTTATAAATAGAATTTTCACAAGCAATAACGCAAGTGTGCTAATTAACGATATATATTACTATACTGGGAGGGTAGGATGCTAAGCGGGAAGTAAAAAAAGAGCTATCTCCTCATCTTCTATGGTGGAAATCAAGGAACAATGCCTAGACTGAAATCTCAAGAAGTAGCAGTATCTGCATGCTATTTAAAGATATAGCTGTAAATACTAAGATAATCAGCTAAAAATGACAAGCCAGGTAGTGTCTGAAGCAGGAAGGAAAGAGAAGAGGGTAGGTTTTTTTCATAACAAATGCTGTAGGGTTATTGGTCTCTGCTTTTCTTGACAAATATAAAACTATCCACTACCCAGCTCTTTAAATGATACACGTTTATAGTTTGTTTTTTTTTTTTAAGATTTATTTATTTGTGCATACAGAATTGGGGTACAAGTCAGAGGTGCAGGGGCGGTGAGAGGATTCACCAGAGACAGAGTGGGGAGCAGAACAGGCTGACTGATGAAGTACACTGCTGAGGGGAGCAGTGGGCGGGTCAGGAGAGGTCTGGCTCGCCATGTGGTCTCCTCCGGGGCAGGCGGCAGGCGGGAATCGAACTCATGCGGAAGTGGCTTCAGATTCTCAGTACTGTGCTTTAACCCGCTGCGCCACCAGGGAGGGCCGCCACCTATAGTTTTAATATAAACTAAAACTAAAACTAAATGTAAGGATAAGTGAAAGTTCCTTAAGTTTGCTGGAAATGAATCTTAAAAAAGCATGTTCTATATATAACAACAATATTTTAAAAATACACTTTTTAAAAAGATTACAAATAAAACATGTATTCCTTTCTAAGCATCTTAACAAAAGATGTATAAGACCTTTATCAAGGCAATTATTAAAATGTATAGAAAGATATTAAAGAACTAATTAAAGATGTTCATGGATAGGCAGACTCAATATCATAAAGATGAAAATTCCCCCAAACAGATTCACTAAAATTCCTAATTTTTAAAGTAGAACTTAATAAAGTGATTACAGAATACAAATGGAAGAGAAGAAACCTAAGAATAGCTAAGGCAATTTTGCTGAACAAGGTAATAAAACCTGTCCCAGCCAAGATTTAGATCTGCTTGAAAGCCGTAACAATTAAGCAGTATAATATTGGCACGGGGCAGACAAACAGGTTAGTGGAAGTGATCTGGGAGCCCGGGAACAGACCACAGTATAGATATGGAAACTTGTCATGTGACAGAGTGTCACTAAAAGTCACTGGGAAAAGAATGGTCCATGTGAAAATTGGCTTAATATGCAAATGCATTCCCACATCACACCCCAAATAAATTCCAGATGTATTGAAGACCTAAATGTTGATTGTGAAACTCTAAAATTCTTAGGAGAAAAAAAATTTAATTAAGAAAAAGAAACATTTTTTTCTCTGAATGGAATAGACTTCTTCAATAAGACATAAAACATATAAATCCTACTGTAACAGGTACAGGTTTCACGGACTCCGCCCCTACTCCAGATGCTGGAACTCCAAATCCCATCAATACCAAGAAGAAGCACACCCGGATGTGAGGGCGGAGCTGAGCAGCCAGGTTGGGATAAAACCGGACATGTGGGCTCGGGGAGGCCCTGCTGGTTCGCAACTGATCGTTTTGGCGCTCAATCTGTTTTCAGCCTGCCGGTGGAGTCCAAGTGAGCAGAACTGGTAGGACATCCT